CTGAGACGCGTTGACGAAGGCGCTGACCTGCAGCGCCTCCGCCGCCGCGGACGCGCCACCAGTCGCGCCAGCCTCCGAGGAGGGCGGACAGAGCTGGGGGGCGGGAGGATCATGTGAAGGAGGGAGGAGCCCGGGGGGAGGAGAGAGGAGCAGGTGGAACTCCTCCTCCTCCTCCTCCTCCTCCTCCTCCTCCTCCTCCTCCTCCTCCTCCTCTCCCTCCTCTTCTTGCGGGAGGTCTTGCACCCCCCCCGGCCCCCCCCCCCCCCCGGGAAGGAGGTCGGCGTCGGCGGCGGCGGCCGCGCCGCGCCAGGGCCTCGAGGGCAGCGACGGCGGTTGCGACGCCGAGGCCGCCGTCGCCGGCGGCGCGGCGGCGGCCGCGGCGGCCGCAAGGGGCGAATGGTTGAAGGGGCCCTAGGACACACAAATAGATACACACAAATAAAAAGATTCCCCATATTTCCCCATATTCTCTGGGTTCCTGTCTTCCCGCCCACTTCCCATATTTTCCCATATTTTCGGAGGAATCGACGGTTAATTGTGTCTGTGTGTGTTTTTCCCCTCCTGAATGGCATGGAATGCGGCGAGAGTCACGGGCGGCGAGAGTCACGGGGAGGAGGAGGAGGAGGATAAGGATAAGGCCCTTGGGGGTCTGTCAACTTCGCCTACCGACAGGCATGCTGACCCCTGGGGAATATACGGATGCGAGCCCACCCTAGCTTTGGGGGGGCCGCCTGAGGCGACGGGGCCCGTCCGTCTGTTGGACGTGGTCCCCGAGCCTCGCTAGCAGGGAGACCCTGCCTCGGTTTCGGCCTGTCGACTGTTGCAGGCGGTGTGGGGCTGCCTCGCTGGGCGCACCCCTCACCGCTGAGAGCCCGCCCACCACCGCTCCCCGTCCTCCCCCCCGCTCCCCCACTCCCTAGTCGGTAAAGAGAGGCAAAAAAAGAAGAGGCGGCCTGATACTTCTCCCTGTACTCGACTTATGGAGGTGCATGGCCGCACTGGCCCATGCTGTAAGTGTTTGCTGCCGAGCCCCCCCTTCTCTGGCGATAGTGGGGAGAAAAAAAAAGGGGGAAGCCAGGCCTGGTGCAATCTGCTCTCTACTGCTGCCCTATGCCCCAGCCTGCTGCCGCTGCCGCCCTTGGCGAAGAGAGCCTGACGTCCCTGCTCTGAGCGGAGCCGTCGGCCTTAGTGGCTGCGGGGGCGGCAGCTGGGGTGCTAGAGCTGGCCTCACTGCACAGAACCTTGCCACGGTTCTCCCAGCCCTCTATGCTCTTGCTCGGGTTGGTGCACGGCGGTCTGCGAGCGGGCTGGAGGTAGTCCTTGATCTCCATCTGCGGCTCCACCATCGGCTCCGTCTGCGTGTCGCCGTCGAAGAAAGCCTCGTCGTAGGCGTAGCCGTGCGGGCCCTTCGTCCAGCGCGTGTATATGTTGTCGATCTCGTCGGCCTGGCGCCTCGTATAGTCCAGCTCCCATGGCATCGGCCCGTGCATCGTCTTGCCCATCCTGTCGTCGGTGATGCCGATGGCGCTCCTCATCGAACTGATGGCGCAGTTGATGTCGTGGAGCTGCTCCTTGAGGTAGAGCTTCGCTTGGCTACGCTCAGCTTCTTCATATGGGTTGAGGCTCTTCGCGTTCATGCGGCCTAGGGTGGTCACCACCTTCTCCCGCTGTTTGTGGAGCGCGTGGGGGGCCTTCTCGCAGTGCTCGGTCGCCATCTTGAACGCGACGGCGGTGCTCTGGAGTGTGTTGTGAGCGATCTCGAGCCTGTACGCCGCCGTGCCCGCGACTTGGTCCGCCACTCCTCCCATGCCTCCTCTGTCGTGCGGCTTCTGCACTATCGTCGGCTGCAGATGCTCCTCTGCAGCTGGCTGCTGCGCCATCTCCCCCTTCTCCGTGTGCGCCTGCGCCGCCATCGCAGCTCTGGTCGTGCGCCCTCGGGGCGCTGGCTCTGGGCGTAGGCGGAGTGTCCGCCAACAATGGATAGAGAGGCCGCGAAGATGCTCGAGTCGCAAATGTCCTCTGGTAGTATGTCGAGCTGTGTGCCGATCCTCGTTTACCTTAGTGGTTCCCACATACTGTTGTGCACCTTAGATATTGTAATAGTTTCCTTAGTTCCCAGTGGTTGGGCCGTAAGGAACCGTAGTAGGACCTTGATGTGAGAGTAGGCGTAGGCACAATCGTTTGCTGCTGTCGGAATCCTATGCCTTTCCTTAGTGTGCGACTCTTACTCACTCTATCCTCTGGAGGTCGAGAAAGGTAACAGTTGTGATAGCTAAAGCGGGCAGGAGCTGGATGTATCTGAGCGGGAGAGGAGGGGTCGAACCGTGGTCGGATCACAATCGCATGGCTGTGCTGGATGTTGTGGTGTGGTAGTTCCCAGTGTATTCTGTCATAGTACGCGATGTGTACCCTGTAGCATGTACTGTGTATACTGTCCGGTACGAGGTCGCAGATACGTCGACTTCGAGCGTGCATCCACGATACTGCTTGACAGACAAACCCCGACTGTGAGTGGGACTAGTAGAGGGCTGATTGCCTGGGGAAGAGATGGTAGGCTGGGCAGTGGGAGTTGGTGGGGGGAGGGGGCGTAGGTAGTGGGAGCCCGTGTAATGGTGGGGTGACGGCTGAATAATTAGAAGGTCCGCCGTCCCCCTCATTTTTTTGCCATAGGCTGGTAATAGCCCCTTGGTCGTAAGTCCCGATAGTACGTAGCCATCCGATATAAGTATGCCACCTGGCCTCCGTGTTGTTCGGCCTGGCTTCTGAGACTCGTCATACGAACAAGGTCTGCACTAATCTGCTGTGCAATTTTTTCCTCTCGGCTCACTGGCGGCGATGATGGTGGCCAGGCACGAGGGCGCCCCATGGAGTTGAGGCGTGGCTCGACGGCGCTGCTCGACATCGAGCTGCTGGCTCCGCTGGGCTGCGGGCCTGGCGAGAGCTGGCCCGCGGGGCTCTCTCGCTCGCGGCGGGGCGAGCTGCTGGGCATTGGCTGGGGTGTGCCTTGGCTCACCTCCTGTTGAGCTGCGCCTCCACTGCCCTCTCCAGGCCCGTCTTCGGGCCTCCTGAGCGGCTCTTCGTGGCCCCGAGGTGCGCCAACGCGCGAACCCAGGCCCTGCTTGAATATGTCCCCCTTGAAGCCCGCGATCTTGTCGTACTGCTCCTGCTCCAGCTTCTGGTCGTACAGCGCGGCCCTGAAGCTCGGCGCCGTGTTGATCGTGTAGATGAGCTTGGCCTTGCACTGTTTGATGTCCATCTCCACGTCCTCGCCCGTCTTGTTGTATGCCTCCTGGATCTTGCACTGCAAGAAGACCTCCGTGATGAAGATTGGTCCCCAGGGCTCGTCGAGCTGGCTCATGAACTCCTTCAGGAGCTGTCTCACGTGGAGGAGGGACGCATCGAGCTTCTGCTCCTCCGTGTCGAGCACCGCCACGATCTCCTCGACCAAGCTCGCCGCCACCTGGCCATGCGGTGGGCCGAGGCCGTGCCCCTTGCCCAGCTGCTTTACCTTCCGCCCGTACTCCCTGCCTGTCTCCATCGGCGCCTGCACCCATTCTGGCTCGAGCGGCGTCAGCCAGAACTCTCCCGTGAGATGCAGAAAATTGCGAATCTCGTTCGAGTTCTGGAGGGTGAGCCTCTGGAGCGATCTCAGCTGGTCCCGTAGCTCCACCTGGCCGCCTCCTCCACCGCCACGGCCGCCTCCTGGGGGTCCTCGACCTCCTCCTCCTCGGCGCTGGGTGGGGGGCGGCTGCTGCGGCGTCTGCTGCGACTGCTGCGTGTCCGACGAGCCGACTCCGCCTCCGCCGAGGTGTGGGCGCTGTGCTGGTCGCTGCCCTTCGGCTGCGCCCCCTCCTCTCTTCGTGCTGGCTCTGATGCGCCAGTCGCCGTGGCCCCCGTGCGACATGTGCTCCTTCTCCCCGTGCTGCTCTGATCGACTCTGGCCCTGCTATGTGCTCACGTATGTGTGCGTGGTAATCCTCAAGAGTTTGAGCCTCGTGGTTACAGATCTGGCAGCTAAGGGAGCTGGGGTCGGAAATGGGGTGGGACCACATCGACCTGTCTTGGTGGCAAATACCATGGCCGTGTACAGCCCTGACTGCGTGGTCGACACATACCTTACGATTAATAAATGTGCTCTTGCACCAGGGACACTGGTTGTTGACGATTACGGACGCCACCACTGGTCTGATGTTGTGGGTCTCTCGGCGATGCCCAGCTAGTGCTGCATATGTCGCAAAGCGCATGCCACACCTCTGTTCTGTGTCGTTCTCGCCCTTCGTCGTATGATCGCACCAGTAAGGTTTTAATGTATCCTCCTCCCTGCCCTCCTCCTCCTGTATCGTCGCATCTCGTGCCGTGAGCACATCTCAATTTCGCTCGTAACTGTACAGTATTGATGGGTCTGTTTGTAACCAGTTTTTTTGTTCCGTACTCCCCTGTTCGAATATGGCGAGGTCGGATTCCCTGTCTGCATACCATCCCATGCTCTCGCCCACTGTTGCTATCACGTGCATGTCGGCTGCAAACTGCTGTGCCCACGGGGTGGAGGCGGGCCCCACGAATCCCTGCCCCTCTAGTCGCCGTATGTCCTGAGCCGCGTCTAGTCTGGATGTTCCGAACACCGCTGCTATGACTGCTCCGTGCTCCCAAGGGTGCCTTGACCAGTTCTGGTACCATCGTAGGCGTCGCACAAGCAAAGATACGGATGTGCGCTCGAGTCTCCAGTATCTGAACACCTGTCGCAAGTTGTTGCACCTCACTGTCCCATCTGTTCTGGTCCACGACATTGCTCCTCCCGCTAGTGTCCGTAGGTACTTGCCTAGTACGCTGTCGATTGCTGTTGTGTGGGCGTCTGTCAGAACTAGCGCAGGCAATCCGCTAAGGGCCGCACCTACCACGAAGGCCATGAACATCATGCGTTTTATTTGCCGGGGTACCTTAGAGGCCCAGAAGATCCCGCATTGTCGCCATGCAACGCGGATGGCTGCGATGCGCCGCACGACCTCGCCAGTGATGCCCTGGCCCGCTGGTAGGTAGGGGCCAAGTACACGCATCTCCCTTAGCGCCTGACCTTGCAGTGTTTTGCTGCGTCTGAGTTGCCTGGTTTTCCCGTAGCAGCCTTGCCCTACTAGGTATAGTAGGTGGTTGGTCTTGGCATTATTGAGTCCCCATCCTCCTGCTGCTATTGTTTGGGAAAGGCGTTCTGTGTTGCTGTTGAGTTGTTGTTCTATATCTCCAGCCGTCGCTGCGGGTAGAACTGTCTGCACATAGGTGATGTCGTCCATGAACGTGTTGAGAGCTAAGTCGTGAGTGTTGCCTGCTACTGGGTTGGTCGTGTCGTGGATAGTCTGGTCTGGGTCCTTGCGGCCTTGTTCCCACCATTTTGTGACGTACAGGTTGTATGCGTCGTTGAATTGCCTTGGGCAGAGGGTGAAGCCCATCTGGGCGCCTGTGGTGCTCTCAGCTTCGACTGTGCCGTCGGCAGCTTCTAGCGTCAGGGTAGAGTGGTCAATTGCTGCCATGGCGAAGCGCTGGTCGTGCTCGTGTGCTTGCCTGAAGGCAACCGCTCTGAGTAAGGCTCGGTTGGTGGCTGCAAACGCGTTGGTGCCGTCGTAGTTGGTTGCGATTGTGCTCACCCCCCCTTGTGCAGCCCTCCATTGGGCCGCTTGTACGCAGAGGATGGCGTTTTCCCTGCAGCGGTGTGGGAGGCCTCCTTGGGCCCAGGGCGCCTGCGTTGTGGGTGAACCACGTGCGTGGATGCCTGAGTGCCAAGCCATTCCAAAGGAATCGTTGACGTGTAGTATACGCTTCCCTAGTATCCCTTCTTTGTTGTTGTGTTTCTCTGCTGGGAATGCTTGCGATCGGTGCCAGTCCAACGGGGTGACCTGGCAACTTCGGCATTGTGCAAAGAATTGGTCCAGGTACTTCACGTGCCCTTTGCTGTGGTCCGCAATCGTGTCTGCACCTAGTCCTGCGTACCTGCCCCTCCCCACTGCATAAGATTGCTGCTCCCAGGCGGCTCCTTCTGTCCCGTCAGTCGCTGTCGGCACACGTCCCAACCTGGTACCTTCCGTCCACCCCATCCGTCGAAGCAGTTCCCTCCCCTTCTTGCATCGCCCCAGTGTCGTGTAGTGTGCAAGCTCATCTTCGTCCCCCCTTTTTTCTGCAGCTGCTACTCGCTTTTCTTCTAGTCGTCTGCTGAGCTCTGCTGGGTCCTGAAGATGGAGGGTGGGATCGATCATCAACCATGTCATCTCAATCGGGATGCCCCATGGTGGCCAGGCCCGTCGTTTACTGGCTCGCTTGCAATACCTACGCATCGCTCGCTTGTCGGCCTCGACCTGAAAAAAGGAGATCGTGGTCGGTCGGCAATCGGTCGATGTGCTCCTGGACGAAGGCCTCGTGTGCTGCTCTCTCTGCTTTTCTGTCGATAGGTCTTGCTCCTAGTCCCCCTTCCAAAGCTGGATGGGCGAGCTCCTGATACCAGTAGTCGCAAGGCCAGTGGGTTCGAGCAGATCGATAGTACCTTTTCTTTGGCCCGCGTCCGTTCCTCTGGTACTGGATGCGTAGTCGGTGCATCTCGGCGAGGTTCCGTTTTTCGTAGGCCTCCCATATGCGTTCGACCAGGAGCGCCCGTCTTTGTTTCTCTACACCTTCTCGGGCCTGCTTCAGCGCCGCCGTGACTTCTTTCAGCTCGTTTTGTACCCAGTCGTAGTCGTCGGCACACTGTTCTGGTGTTAGGCTCTGTCGCAGTGTTCGTCGTTTCCTAAGGAGCTCGAGTCGGTATTGCTTGGCTCGCTTCGTAAGCTGGTCGATCTCGTCGAGTGTGCTACTTTTTCCGAAAGTCGTGAGCGTGGCCGATCGTGCTGCTCCTCCCAGAAGGTCCCAGGTCTCGTCTGGCGTCGCCGCTCCCAGTGCTCTCTCCCACTGCTCCCCACCCACCTCCTCCACCTCCTTGTCGAGTTCGGTAAGCAGCATCTCCCTCTTGTGGCCGCTGCGCAAACACTCCATGAGTCCGCCCCTGCACAGCCCCTGTTGTAGGCGGGCGCGCGTGGGGAAGGAGGTGTTGGAGGTAGAGACGAGGAGGGTGAGGCCGATGGGGAGGTGGTCCCTGTGCCCTCGTACTTTGACCTTTTGGAGCCTTTTGCCTGACCGATGGAGGACCTCACACCTTTTTACGAGTCCCAGGGCCCCTGTAGGTACTACAATGTGGTCAATACGACTGTTGCAACCTGAATGTCCGTAGAACGTAGGTTCGGCGATGTGGTAAGTGGTGACTATACTGAGGTCGCTGGTCTGACACAGGGTCCTAAGGCTCGTGCCGTTGGAATTCTCTATTTTGGGTTCCCTGTCTCCTACCGTCGGTCCTCTGCTCCGCACAATAGTCCCGTCTGTTTCTCTCTGGCAACCAAAGTCGCTGTTCACATCCCCGCCCATCACAATCGTCGGACGGCTGCCTTCTCGATCGACACACTGCTCCAACCATTTAGTTATCGCTTCTGCTAGTGGCACGTAGTACTTTAAGTGTGTTGGGGCGTAGTAATAGACAAAAAAAACATAGTCGTGTTGGCCAGTCGAGAGGCGAATTCCTGCAACCCGTCCCTGGAGGCTGGTTGGTGGGGTGTAGCTTTCTCGTAAGCTGCGCTCGTCGATTCTCTGGCTGATGAGGATCGTTAAGCCACAGCTTTTGTTGATCCACTTCCCTTTGCGAGCACCGAATTGTAACACGTAGTGATTCGGGAGGTAGTGTCTCTGTACTGCTTCTGCTCCCGCCCACCTGCATGTTCCACTGAGGAGAACGACGTCCCAGCTGTGTAGTTCCGCGCTGATGTCCTCCAGTCGTTCTATGCTCGCTGCCTCTTGTGGGTTGTAGTAGCAGATTCTCATGCCTAGGCGCACGGGCTCGCCATGCGGGCCCCCCAGTCTCCCCTGCCCCCGAGGCCTGCGGGTGTGGGCGCAGAATCGCTGGTGTACGATTGTACCTGAGGTGCGGTCGGTCGACTCTTGGGCACCTCAAACAGCGACTAGGAGGAGGAGGAGGAGGAGGAGGAGGAGGAGGAGGAGGAGGAGGAGGAGGAGGAGGAGGAGGAGGAGGGAGGAGGAGGAGAGGAGGAGGGGAGGAGGAGGAGGAGGAGGAGGAGGGAGGAGGAGGGGCGAATGGTATGGAATGCGGCGAGCGTCACGGGCGGCGACCGTGGCTGCATCCGCGCCCTCGCGCCTCGCGGTCTGGCCTCCACGGGTGCGCGGTCCCACGGGTACGTACGCGGTCGCACGGATGCGTGCTGCGCGGGGCGGGCGCGGGAAGGCGGTCGTGTCCACGGGGCCTCGGCCCAGGGGCCCAGCCCGCGAGGCCGCGGATACCCTAGATTTCGTAATAAAAGGCAGGGGGTCTCAACCCTCCCAGACGAGAAGTTTTAGACCCCCCCCCGTGGTGGGACCCTCCAAAACCGTCCCCAGACTCCCCCAGGCCCTCCAAGATAGCCTGGAAGAGACCCCCCCCCGAAAGGAGACCCCCCTCCCTTTACTACGAAATCTGGGAGTACGCAAGTGCTTTTCGCCCGCGAGGTGGCGGCGCTGGCACTGGCGACGGCGAAGGCGGCGGCGACGGCCTCACTAACCAAGATCAGCTGGTGGCGCTCGGGGTGCTGCCGTCAGCCACGGTGATCAAAGACGGCTGAGGACCTGCGTGGACGTGAGGGGGAGGGGGCGAGGGGAAGGGGGGGGGAAATAGACAGCGCGAGGAAGGAACACGAGGAAGGCATCCCGATGTCTAGCTCGCCCGAGGAGCTGCCGCTGGCCCTGGCCCCTCCGGGTGGCGCATGGGGCAGCGCGGGCCTCACGTTCCTCGCCGTCGCCGCCGTGAAGATTGCCTTCGTCGCCGCCGCCGCAGCCACTGCCGGCAGCGTCCTCGTCGACATTGTTTGGGTGCCACATGCGAACCCTGCCCCTAACCCCCTACGATTCCTGAGGGGGAGGGTGGGGTCACTTCGTTCGGGAGCTCTCGAGCGAAGTGAACCCCACCCTCCCTCTGAGCAAACGTGGGGGATAGGGGTAGGGTTCGCATGTGGCCCCCTAGTTGGCGTCGTCGCCGCTGGCGTCAGGTGCGAGGGCGGGGCCTCGCAGCCGAGCGTCTCGTGGCTGCAGCACCAATCTTTCTTCAGCTTCGACCAGCCAGTGGCGGCGTTGCTGAGGCCTGCCGTGCAATTGTACGGCGCCGCAGCGGAAGCGCCGGTCAGCGTGGCGGTTGCCTGGGGAATGAAATGATACCGAGACCCACGACGTCGGGTTTTTTCCCAACGTCGACACCCAGAGGTCTGGACCCCTTCCCTGGGAGAGGTTTTTCATCCAGAGTCGTTCTCTGACATTCCCAAGACCCGGGAAAGGCCATAGCGAAAACCTCATGTCGTGATTTTTCAACAACGCGAGGAGGTCTGGGCATACACCACCACCATGGCCTCCGCAAACCCACTTCGGGCAAAGGCGTTGTGTGCGTCGGCTCCAGGCCGCTCTCACGCCGAAAGGTACCGCCCGACATGGGCGTGCGAAGGCCTTGGCTACGCGCACTAGCGACCCCAGGCAGGAGCGGCCCTTGTTGCGTGCCTGCAGGGGGCCGTGGGGGGCCCAAGGCATCCCAAATCCGCCGACCTTGTCGGCGTATATGAGGAGCTTTTCCGTTTGAGTCGGCGTCGCCGTTCCCCCCGTTGAAGCTTTTCCGTTTGAGTCGTCGTCGTCGCCGTCGCCGCTGCATCCCTGTACCTGGGCCCTCCTCCTCAAACGTCCCAGCCAAGGGACATCGAGCAATGCGCAATCGAGTCGAAGGGAAACCCTTTCTCTTTGACCCCTCCCCCGGCAGGGGGGCTGTCCCAGGAGTGGGTCACAAGTCAGAATGCCGTTCCCCCCGTCCCTTGTCGTGCCCGCACCGAGCGAGTCTGATACTTTTCATTCGGCAGTTCAAATCCAAGATGGTCCAACAGGGCCCTGAAACAGCCCAAGATCGGTCCAAGACGGCACAATATTGTCTCGCGACGCCTCAGAAGCCCCCAACACGCCACAAAAGAGCTCCAGGAGGGATCAACGACTTCCATGTACTTGCTTTATGTTGTTCGCGTCCTCGCCTTTCTGGGCTTCAGACCCTCCAAGACGAGCTTGGAAACCATCAACAGCGCCCCAAGACGTCGAAGAGGATGCCAAGAGAGTCCGAACACAGCCCAATACGGCACCAAGGCCGCCCAAGAGGCCCCAAAGACAACCGAATAGGGCCCCAAAAGGCTCCCGAGAAAGGGGAGCACCAACCGACATTTCGAGCATTCCGCCGCAAGAGGCCCCCACGGAGGCCCCAAGAGGCGCCGAAGGAGCCCACAAGAGGCCCCCAGAAGTGCCCCAAGAGCAGCCACCCAGACAACCCCAAAAGGATAGAACCAATGATGTTCCTGGAGTTTCTATCTAATTTTTTCGTCGTCGCCGCCGCCGCTGACGTCGTCGTCGTCGTCGTCGTCGTCGTCGTCGTCTTCCCCCTTCAAGGTCGGCGGTACCGGCCGCAAGGCCTTCGCAATCTAAGCGTGACAGCCGTGACGGGGGGGTCCCCCGTGGGACCGCACCAGCCAAGGGCCAAGGGTCACTCGTACGCGTGACCGAAGCCCGCGTGATGGTGGTGGTGGTGTGACTGTACGTTCCCTCTCCCGACCGCCGCCTGGTCCGCCAGGGGCGTCCCCGGCGCCGAGTCGGACCTGCACGGGTCCGCTTAGCGCGCGCCCGCGGATCATGGCTGGCCAATGGCGGGATCCTGATCCTGATCCCGTTCAAGATCTGACACCCCAGAACTCCGACTTAGAGTCATCGTGCTACTGTCGGGGCGTTGACCAAGGAACCCTAAATAAGAAACGATGCCCCTTTTCTCCGCACATTGAACTTCGATTTTCCATGGAAAACCTGAGGAACACCAAAGGCAAACTGTGAAACAACTGAAGAATACGGAGCCCCTCCCCAACGAAAAAAAAAGGTTCCTTCTTCAGCACCCCGACTTCCACCACCAGGAGCGCTGCATGAGAAACGAAGTGGCTTTCCTGGCCACGGCGAGCCTCGGCCACAGATGCGTTCCGCAGCCCAGATCTAGGAACGGCCTGAACACCACAGCTCATCCTGGAGCCGAAGCGGACCTCATCTCAGCGTCCTGACTGTACCCGGGCTCCGACTTGGTGGCCTTCATCACGCGGGGGCCTCGACAAGCCGAAAGCCTGAGGCAAGTCTTGTGTCTCGTACAATTTCCCATGGCCCCTGTGGCCTGTGGGTCCGAAAGCGGCCCACGACACGGAGTGGCTTTCAAAGCCATGGTCACGCCCGAAAATAATTCCTGGACCTACACAGTTCGGGATTGAGTTGTACGTTTTGTCGGCCCAGCGCTGTGGGAAAAGGTGGCTTGTGGAGTACGGGGGAAGCGGGAACGCCATGCAAGAAACCTGCCTGAGTCTGAAGAAAAAAGCCTCCAGATGCCCCCTGGGGCTTCCCCATGGGACCAATTTTAGGTCGGGCATGTCCCCCTACAGGCGGAGTGTGTAGGGAACATACGAAATAGTCACAGGAAAATCACAGACGATCCAGCTCCCAAGCCTGCATCGTGTTCTGTTCCTCGCGGGGCCCAGGGAAGGCCTCGCGAGGGGGCAAAAAAAAACAGCGCACCTGCAAGAGGAAGCTCTGTCGGCCGAGTCGGGGATCGACCACCGAATGGATCGACCCCAATATTGAGATCTTCGTCAAAAAATCACACAAAACATGTTGCATGCGTCATGAATGCGGCGAACAATCGATGTTGGTGCACATCAAATAATTGTGTAGACGAACCCCTGCTCGAGTCATGTCGAACCACCTCCGCGAGGCCCGATGTCCTGGGACTCGCCGCGTCATCGTGAAACACAAACCGCAAAAGGGCCTGTTGACCCCATCCTCGGGCCCTGTTGTCGAGCGGCACGACGGGCCCGTCCGCGGAGGCCCCGGGGACTGGAAACGGGGAAGTGAGCTGCCGAGGAGGGAGTTACTTCGAGTATATGTGGCCGCGTGTTGTTCCACGCTGTGTTCATTCGACTCTATATATATATATATATATATATATATATGTGTACACATCTATATTTATATATACATAAATATACATATATATGTATATATCTTAAACTAGAACCACGCGCGCGCTTCGCGCGCTTAGGTTCTGTCGAGTCACAGACCCAGGAATCGTTGTGAGAAGAAATTGGCGACGCGAAGTCGAAGCCAATCTGGCGTTAATCTAGCGGCCCATATCGGGCAAAAACTGGCAATCTGGCGGGGGAGCCAGCAATGTAACAGACTGGCGAGCAAGTAGAAATCTCCAACCTGGCCACGCCAGAGTGGCCCTGGATCCCAAGGCAATCTGTTAGTCTGGCCTTCGGCTACCCAGGAGAAGGGCGAGACTCCCTCCTTCTCCTTCCTCCTCCCTCCTCCCTCCTTATCCTCCTCCTGCTCCTCCTCCCCCTCCTCCTCCTCCGCCCCCTCCTCCTCATCCTCCTTCTCCTGCCGCTCCCCCTCCGGGTGAATTGGATACATTGGGGGACCATATGGGCGAACCGTTAGAGCCGTTATTTCCACGACCGAAGCTGAGTCCAGGCAAGGATCTGCTCTCTCAAGCCCGCACGTGGCGTTGACAAAGCAGGCATGTTCCAACCGCCCTGATCGGTTAGAGCGAGGAGGGGGAGGAGGGGGACGCGGAGGAGGAGGAGGAGCAAGAGTACGTTGAGGAGGAGAAGGGCGTTACTTGACTCTCGTGCCAGCTGCGCGCGGCTCTCTGCGCAAGGGATGGCGATACGAGAATATATTTAGCTCGCCTGGGAATGCCCCTCTGCCCCCTCCCTTCTCTCTCATGAGCATGGCCTCGTCCCTGTCGTCCCGCTTGCTGGTCCTCATGCCTGAATCCTGCGTCCTCCTCCTCCTCCACGTTCTTCCCTCCCTCCTCCCCCTCCTGTTTCCCCGCTTGCCACCTCCACCACCGCCGCCGCCGTATCTTCCGTTTCCTCGCCGCCCAAGCCGCCGCGCGACAGAAGGCGCACGACGGCTCTCAGCGCGGCCAGTTATCTGGCAATCCGCCCCCGCCGACGCAAGGTCTAAGCGCGACGCCACATCTGTAGTAGTGCATGATATACGTGCACGTAAGGGGTCGGAGTGTATATATGTTTTGAGTTTGGCTGACGTGAGTTTGTGATGTTTGGGGTTTGCGGGATTGCGCCAGCGTGACTGAGAGCACGGGGTTAATCTTCTCGACGCGGCAAGCGTTGCAAGATCTACCGTAAGGATAATGAATCCGCAGCCCGCTCGAGGTGCGCGCGCGCATGAGACATTCAGTTGTTTGGCACCTGTGGCCCACCGTGTGTTCTTTTTTCAAGCAGACGGTCCGGTGTGGACACTCGGAAACGGAAGGAATGGCCACATTGTCCCAACCGGCGTCGTTCGACCTGAAGCGTCGGTGGGAGGTCGCGTGCGTGTGCGACGTTGTAGGGCGGGGGAAATCGCGAAGCGGCGTTGCTCTCTCGAAGCTCGCTGGCCCGGTGAGTAAGGCACTCTACTGTCTGGTGCGCCATCGCATCGTAGAAGCGAAGCAAGGGCGTTCTGGTAGCTTCGAAGTCGAAGCCAGTCGCAATAGGTATGAAGCGTCCTAAACATCGTTTCGTGGATGGGCGGAGGGGGACAACTGACGCGTGAACGCCTCCAAGCAGCATGCCCGCGTTCTGGGCATTGTGGCGGAATGTGCCAAAGGCGAACAGATAAGCTAGGCACGCCCGGGTTACCCCTGGCGCCGCGTAAGTCACTGCGACCGCCAGGTTGCACAACATCAGAGGCCAGTCAGTGCCCGCTCGCTCCGCATTGGAAGCTACCGCGCACTGGAAACAAGTCGGCGCGATGGCAGCCAGAGGATGCAATCCTTACTATACTGCCCTCGTGGCGCGTCGTCGACGACGTCGCTGCAGCCGTCGCCGCGGTCGTCGACCTGCCAGCGCCGACGTCGACATCGCCCGCCGCGTCGGCGCCCAGGTCGTCGAGAGGGAAAATATGAAAGCGGAACAGCGATTCACGTGACTTCGACGTCGAAGGCTGGGAAGGAAGGAAAGGGATGACAATCGAAAGGAAAAACTGACGTTGACGACGAGAGGGAAGAAAGGGCGAACATGGCGGAATGGCGGCGGCCGACGCAGTGTTTGGGAACGGATCTGGCGCGGTGGTTGAGGAAAAGTCCCGCGCCCATCCAGGCGTTCGCCTCAAGGCTGCTGGAACCAACTCTTCGCTAAAGAACCGCCGACCCTGGCAGGGTCTCCCGGGCTTGCGAGCTCTCGTCCGTCAACATTACGTCGCCTCCGGAGGTCGTTTATGGCGCAAAGCACCCCGCAACACGGGCCCAAGACTGCTCCGAGAGAGCTCCAAGAAGGCCCCAGGAGTGCTCGAGAGAGCTCCACGGGTGACCACGGGGGCCTTTACCCCCTCCTCCCTCCTCTTCATCCTCCTCCTCCTCCTCCTCCTCCTCCTCGTCCTCCTCTTCCTCCTCCTTCCTCCTCCTCCTCCTCCTCCTCCTGCCTCTCTCCAGGGGAATGAAAACCAGGGGATACCTCACGGAGAGCCCAAAGCTTCCCACAACATGGTCTCAAGACAGCCCCGAGAGAGTTCCAAGAAGGCTCCAGGAAGGTTCCAGGTCCGCCCCAGCATCGGTCACGCGAAAGAGTTCTCGCGTGACCGATCTTGGGTCTTTGTTTCAGCCACCTTTGAACTCATAAAGGAATCCACGACGGCTCCAAGACGGCTCCGAAAATGCCCCAACAGGGACTCAAGAGGGCTCCAAGGGAGCCCAAACATCGGTCACGCGAAAGAGCGTTCGCGCGACCGATACGAGACCCTTTTTTTTGCTACTTGGAGTCCCACTGGGGGTCGAAAGTGGCCCCAAGAGCCACTCGAGAGAGTCCTAACCGGACCCCGAGGGAGCTCCAAGGTCGCCCAAGAGCGACCCAACAGGGTTCCAAGAGGGCTCCAACATCGGTCACGCCAAAGAGTTCCCGCGTGACCGATCTGAGGACTTTTTTCTGCCGTCTTCGACATCCAGTGGGGGCCGAAACTGGACCCAAGAAAGGCTCCAAAGAGCCCTAACAAAACCTCAAGAGGGCTCCACGGGTGCCCAACACGGCCTTGAGGAAACTTTGAAACCCCTCCCGAAAGGGCTCCATGTCGAGAGGGGTGCGGCCCACGCGCTCTCGGCGGCGGCGGCGGCAAAGTGTGCCTCGAGACGGCCACTGCGTTCAGACTCCGGAGAGGGGTCCGACTCCTCCTTTGCCTCCGCCTCCACCTCTTCCTCTGCCGCCTTCCTCCTGCTCCTCCGCTCCCTCCTCCCCCGCCTCGTCCTCTTCCTCCTCCTCCTCCTCCTCCTCCTCCTCCTCCTCCTCCTCCTCCTCCGGGCGCTCTTGGCAATCTTGGAGCCTTCTTGGGAGCTGTTTAGAGCTCACTCGAGACCTGTTGGGCGCACTTGGAGTCCTTTCGGGTTTCTGTTAGGGCTCTCTCGACGGCCTCGTGGGGCCACTTTCGGCCCCCACTGGGACTCCAAGGTGGCAAAACAAAATGGGTCTCGGGTCGGTCACGCGAACGTCCTCCTCTTCCTCCTCCTCCCTCTCCTCCTCCTCCTCCTCCTCCTCCTCCTCCTCCTCCTCCTCCTTCTCCTCCTCCTCCT